AGAAAGTGCAAGCCAAGACCTGGGAGCTAAGCAGGGTGCCCATGGAACTTGGTTACATATTAGCTTTTCGGTTACAACTCTTACCTTGTAGAGCTGTTGATCTGATCCTCAGAATGAGGCATGGGACCCAAGCTGCATTCCAACCCTAAGCCTTTTACCCTCAAATGTCCATGACAACTTCTTATGAAGTATTCTGAGCAAGGGAGAAAAGAAACTGCAAACTGTGACAGCCCCTTCTCCAACCAAAGCCTCTAGCCTGGCCTATATTTATGTTTGCAGCCATCTGTCTTCTACTAGAACAATAAGGAGACGAATGATAATGATTCTTTTCATCAAGTTCCTTTCTTCATCAAGGCTCAAAGCCTCTAGTATATTAATTAGCTTATTATCAAAAATTGCCCCTTATTGTGTAGCCATGTTGATCTGTTACATTAGTTCCTGTTTTCCTCCTTTACCACCCCTCCCCTTTTACCAAGTTCCTGTTCTCTGTTAGATGGTTCTCTTGAATGTTCCTAACAGACTGAGTGGAAGAGGTTAGTAATGATTTTTTCCATTCCTGAGGCGGCTGCTCCCTATCCACCATCATGTTTTTGGGATGTAACTGCTGCCGGCACACCAGGTGTGCTGCTGGGAACACTTTGCTGTCACGGATGCAAATCGGCTTGAGAATCTTACTCTTTGCTAATTGGTACATTGAAACGTGCTAATTGACCTGGAAAAGTTATTTCTGTGAGTGGCAAATTGAGCTATTTTAAAGTTATAGTTTGGGTTTTGGACTTGAACTAGGGACAGAATGTCCCTTTGCTTTCTTGACAGTACTTAAAATAGAAAAAGCTTGTTTTCAAAAGAGGCCTTAGCTTTCTGAAGAATTCATTCAGGCAAAATTGTGCCTCAACCTTCTACAAAGGCCAGTGTGTTTCTGATCAGATGAATGCAAAGTGTATGGGGACATGGAGGGTGTTGAGAAGGCCTGGGGTTCCACCAAATTCTAGGCACTGGCCTAGAATAGGTCTAATTACTGCCTGTATTTTGAGATTAATCTTTGAGAGTCTTACAGAATGCCAGCCCAGCCATACCAGTCAGTCCAAATTTTTATTGAGCACATTTTTTTGTTAAATATTGTGCTATATGCTTCAGGAGATGCAAAAGCAACCAGAGTTCATTCCCAGCCCTTAAGGAACTTGTGGTTTAGTTAGAAGGATAAGGCACAAATGCCTTAGACATGACTGTGATATTAGAGTCAAAATCTTGAGAAAGGAGAATTGCAAGACAATACAGGCTTAATCACTAAATTGTAATTGTTTCAAGATCTACAAAAATGGGAAGAGGATTAATATCAGTATTTATGGAGCATCTAATGTGAATGTGTGCCAGGTAATTTATGAATATTCTTATTAAATTCTCACAAGAACCTGATTTTACCTGTGAGGAAACTGAGGTTTTGAGACGCTAAATGACTTACATGATTTCTAAGTACTAAAACTAAGTCTAAAGACTTTGAGCTCTAATGCACTGCGTCCTAAAGAGGTCATTGGATGAGGTGGTCCAGAAATGTTCCATGCAAAAGTAAAGCCTGAACCAAGCCTTGAAGGGCTATTAGAATGTGCATGCAAATTGCAGAAGAAGGTGACAGTTCAACTAAGGGACCAGAGGTGTGGAGGTAGGAAATAGTAGACTCTCCTTGAGAGTCTAAAGAGCAGGATGGAGAGTCATGAACTCCAGTTTGTATATATAGACTTTGCCTCTTACTGGCCAATCACCAGAAGACATCCTGTGACACTGCTTCTGTCACGCCTTTTAGCCCTTGGAGTGTTTTGATTTTATGTGTACTTACGTTTTCCACCACCACTAAGAGTTCTTACAGGGAGACAGAGCTTTTCAACCACAAAATCTTTCACAAATACAAATATGTCACCCTAGTAGAGTTAAGAGTATGAACTCAGGGATCTGATTTTCCAGGTTCATACCCTGACTGTGCTGCGTGTGTATGAGAGGGAGGGAGAAAGGGAACTTGGCTAAGTTACTTAACTTGAATGGGCTTCCATGCTCTCATCTATGATATAGAGGTGATCATAGTGCCTCCCTCCTAAAGCTGCTCTGAGGATAAATCAGTTAATATATGTAAAGCATGTAGCACAGCACCTGGCAGATGGGAGGTCCTCCATCAGCATTAGTTGTTAATTATTAGTCTTTGATCTTCACAGAAACCCTGTGAAAGGTGGGTATTAGTGTTACTGTACCAGGTTCATTTGCCCAGTGTGTTGGAAGTCAAATGCTGAGATGCTGAGGTTTGCCCTACAAGGCAGCCAAGCGAGGAGAACCAATCTCAAATCCACCTCCCCCAAGTTGAGGGGTTTAGGATATTTATGGGACAAGGAAGCAGGATGGTCTGAGGCCTGGGGAAAGATGGTTGGAGGCAAGAAGGTGGTGAAGTAATCAGCGTTCTGTGCAAGTATAGCTGAGTTACGTACTTCTTCTTGAGATGCATGTTCAGAAAAATGGTGACCTTAGCATGATCTGAGGATGGAGTTTTTGGCCCTCTGACATCAAAAGGTAATCCATCAGATACTCTCAGTCCCAGCTGAATGGTGAATGGTTGATGGTCTTGACCACTTTGAAATGTGCTAGACTAGCTCCATGTTCCTGAAAAAACAACTGAAGCAACCATTACTATAATGTCAGAGCTGTTATCTATAGGGGGTGGCTAAAGGAGTCTTGTGATATATTGTCTAAGCTATACACAGCTTGGAAGATATACAGTTTGCAGGAACAATTAAGGAGAGCTTGGTTTGTGAAGGCAGGTTATAGGATGTTACTTATTAAGCAAGTTGTGGTTTAAGAAATCTAGCTGATGCCTGTCCTTGGTTTCACTTGTTGTTGTTATTTAGTTGCTAAGTCATGTCTGATTCTTTGAGACCCCATAGACTGTAGCCCATCAGGCTCCTCTGTCTATGGAATTTCCCAGGCAAGAATACTGGAGTGAATTGCCATTTCCTTCTCCAGGGGATCTTCCCGACCCAAGGATCGAACCCATGTCTCCTGCATTGGCAGGCGGATTCTTTACCACTGAGCCATCTGGTTAGCACTGCCATTTAACAGATTAAACCTTAGAAAGTTTACATAACTTGGTCAGAGACACACAAGAATTGACAGAACTGGCCTGAGAACATCTGTCTTTGTGATATGAAAGCTCAAAGGTTTCCTTCCACCTCTTTCCTGATTATTTTATTTGATTTTCAAGTATCAAGCCAAGTCAAGTTTTTGTGTAAATTTTATACAATATCCATTAGAGATTCTTTTGGGGGACTGATTATACTTTCACGATTTTTTAAAAAGTATATGCTCTTTGAAAAAACCATTTAATCAGACAAGTATAAAGAGAAAGCCAATCTTTTTTTTTTTTGAAAGCCAATCTTTAAACCTCATCAATTTTCAATCCTGTCTCCCCAGGGGTAAGTTGTGTTAACTGTTTGTATATGTTTCCACATTTTTCTTTTGCCCATAAGTGCAGATGGAGATGTTCACATTTCTGGGGTTGTTGGTTGGTTTGGTTGTAGGTTTCTTGTGCAATCAGCATTGAACTATAACCATTCCTCCAGTGTATTTTCCTTTAACCTAATTGTAGAATCTGTAATCTCTTCAGGTGTGGACGTAGCTCATTGTTTTCCAATAACTGCTGAGCACTCCATAGTTTGGTTGAAGTGTATATTCAGCCTGTTGCCAGGCTCCCAGGCCTGCATCATAACTAGTGTCTGTGGGCAAGGGTAGTGTCTTTTGTGGTATCTGCTCTATGCAGGACACCCAGCACATGGTGGTATCCACAGATAGAATAAATGAATTAGCCCATCAACCTGAGCCTCTGTATTGCAGAGAAATTTCAGGGATCTTTTGCACACATGTCCAGGATGATGTCTTAGGTGTAATAACCGGAGGGATGAGAGATATTTTTCCCAAGTGAATTATTTTTAGACCACTTAAAATAATGCTGTTTTCCTGATGACAGCAAAAGACATATTTAGTGATGAAAATTTGTGAAATACAGGAAAGGAGAAATAAAAAAATAAGTACCATACATCTGAGTCTCAAGGGCTTATTTTTCAACATATTAAAAAAAAGAAAAACACCAAAAAGCATGAGGCTTTTGTGCCTCTGTCCTTGCAACTGTGTAATTGCAACTGTGTAAATGTTTTCTTTACAAAAGTAATATCTTCATAATAGCAAATAAAGAAAATACAGAAAAATACTGAAATAGGATCATTGAATAGTTGACAGATGTTCATATTGTTTGCAGCATATTCTCAAAGTCTTCTCGTCTCTGTGTGCTGGTTAAGAGTTAGTATAATGTAGTGGTCAGGTAGCTGACTCTGGAGTGAGCAGATCCTTGCTTTTATGGCTGGCTCGTCTGTCTTTATCCATGTGATCGTGACATACACACTTCGGTGACCTCGTTTTCTAATCTGTAGATGGGTGCTTGAACGAATGGAGATACGTGGGGTAAGCACTTAGTCCAGTGCCTGGCACACAGTAAGTGTTTAATTAAGTGTCAGATGCTCTTGTTGTTACTACTGCTCCAAATAGATGTCGAACTGGGCTCCTATTGGCCTGTGCTATTTGATGTTAGCCTTCAGGGCCTTGGCTCTAGCTCCCTGGTTGGGTGATGGTGATGTGAAGAGGGCTTTGTTTCTTTTTTTTTTTCCATTTATTTTTATTAGTTGGAGGCTAATTACTTTACTATATTGTAGTGGTTTTTGAGGGCTATGTGTCTGAATTAGCTTTGCCGAGTGAGATTAAAATTCCCTGGCAGGATTTCTTTTCCACATTGACTAGCAGCACCTTTGTGTGTGTGTGTGTTTCCCAGACAGACTGTTAGATTAGGGAACTGGTCAACTCTCTCTCTACTCCCTCCTGACAGGTGAATTAGGCCTACTCCTGGTGTTTTTTCCCATTTGAATGAAATGTTGAGACCTCTGAGTTTTTCAGTAACACCCAAGCCCCCGACTCTCGGGGAGAGTGGCAGCCATGAATGAGAATGACAGGTAGCAGCCTCTTTGCCTCCAGAGTTTAATAGTTCTTTGCACTAGTTCTGTTTTCCGAAAATGCGATTAGAAGGCACAGCCTCTGACTCTTCCACCCAATATTTCTCCCTCTTCCTCGAGCCACTCCCCCAAGCCATGTTTCTTTTTTGTTTTTTTTAGATCAAGCAGGCAAGATTTATTGAGCAAGTCGTAAGCAGTACAGTCTCGAGTGGTCAGCAGTGTTTCTTCATGCAGTCAAAGCCTTATCTAGCAGGCGAGTTCTGTTTCCCCAGTCTGTGTGGATCAGTGGTTCTCAGCCCTGACTGCACCCTAGAAGCAACAAAGCCAATTTCAAAATGTAAGCATTTTCCAGAAGCACCCCAGGCAATTCCAGTGTGCAGGCGGGGCAGCACTGCTTAGGGCCCTGCCTGGTCTCACGCTGTCGCTGACCGCTGACATTGGGGCTTTGAGCATCAGTTTCCCCATTTGTCAAATGGTCTTAGTGATATCTGTTCTGTCTACCTCACAGATATGTTTTTGAAGAAAAGGTAGCAGATAACAGAAGACAACAGAAGAATTAGCAAAGAACTTTGAACATTTAAAAGCACTCCACAAAGAGGCAATGAATCCTTGCGTCTTTCTTTCTCCCTGTAGTCATTTTTTTGAGGGGAGGTGTTAATTGAGATAAAATCTACATAATGCAAGTTTATCCATTTGAAGTGTACAATTCAATGTCTAATTCAGTGCATTACAGAGTTGTACAACCATTGCCACTATTTAATTTTAGAATATTTTCGTCATTCTCCCCCACCCCCACCAAAAGCATTAGTAATGTCTCTCTACTCCTCCCCTCCATAGACCCTGGCAACCACTCATCTCCTTTCTGTCCCTATGGATTTGCTTGTTCTAGATATCTCATGTAAATGGAATCATATCATATGTAGCATTTTCTGATTGACTTATTCCACTTAGCATAAAGTTTTCAAGTTCATCCAGGTTGTTACATGTATCAATACTTCATTTCTTTTTATGACTGAATAATAATATTCCTTTGTACAGTATACCACATTTTTTAAAAATTGAAATATACTGTATCTACAATGTTGTGCCAGCTTCAAGTGTACAGCACAGTGATTCAGTTTGTTAGATTCTCTTCCCTTACAGTGGGCATTACAAAATACTGAGTATAGTTCCCTGTGCTATATTGTAGGTCTTTGTTGGTTATCTTATATTTTGTTTATCCATTCACGCATTGATGGACGTTTGGGTTGTTTCCACCTTTTGGCCATTGTGAATAGTGATGCTATGAATGGTTGTGTAAAGATATCTGCTTGACTAGGCTTCCCTATTGGCTCAGACGGTAAAGAATCTGGCTGCAATGCAGGAGACTTGGGTTCCGTTCGTGGGTCGGAAAGATCCCCTGAAGAAGGAAATGGCTACCCACTCCAGTATTCTTGCCTGGAGAATTTCATGGACAGAGGAGCCTGGTGGGGTACAGTCTTGACTGCTTTGGGGTATATACCTAGAAGTGAAATTTCTGGGTCATATGGTAACTCCATGTTTAAATAACCTTTTGAGGAACTGCCAGATTGCTTTCCAAAGTGGCTTCCCTGTTTTTTATTCCTACTAGCAATGTATGAGGGTTCTGGTTTTGCTGCCTCCTTGCCAACAATTTTTATTACCTGATTTTTTCCCCATAATAACCATTTGGGAAGGTATGAAATGGTATATCCCTGTGGTTTTGATTTGTATTTCCCTGATCACTAATGATGTTGAACACCCTTTCATGTACTTATTGGCCATTTTCATGTCTTCTTAGGGGAAATGGCTTTTCAAATCCTTTCCCATGTTTAAATTGGGTTATGTGTTTTTTATTGTTCAATTGTGATAGTTCTTATGTGTTGGAATAGTAGACCCTTATCTGGTATATGACTTGAAATATTTTCCCTCTTCTTTTGGGTTGTCTTTGCATTTTATTGATAGCATCCTTTATTTTTATTTTTTTTTTTTTTTGATAGCATCCTTTAAAATACAAAATCTTAAACACTAATGAAGTCTAATTTGTCTTTGACTGCTTGTGCTTTTGGTGTTATGTCTAAGACACTAGTATCTAATCAAGTTCATGAGGTCTTAGGAATATCTTCTAAGAATTTCATGGTATTAGACTTTGCATTTAGGACTTTTTATATATCATGTGAAGAAGGGGTCCAAATTCATTCTGTTGATGTGGATATCCACATCAACTGGATATCCAGTTGTCCCAGCATTATTTGTTGAAAAGACTCCTCCCTGTTGAAATGTCTTGGTGAAGTGAAGGTGACTCAGTCGTGTCTGACTCCTTGTGACCCCATGGACTATTGAGTCCATGGAATTCTCCAGGCCAGAATACTGGAGTGGATAGCCTTTCTCTTCTCCAGGGGATCTTCCCAACTCAGGGATCGAACCCAGGTCTCCCACACTGCAGGCAGATTCTTTACCAGCTGAGCTGCTTGGAACTCTTATCAAAAATCAATCAAATAGGGTTTATTTCTAGACCATCAGTTTTATTCCATTAATGTGTATGTCTGTCCTTATGCTGGCACCACACTGTCTTGATGATCACTGTAGCTTTGTAGAATGTTTTGAAAGTGAGAAGTGTGTCATTCAAATTTGTTATTTTGTTTTAAGATAGTTTTGGCCATTCTGGGGCCCTTGTATTTCCATATGAATTTCAGGATCATCTTTTAATTTGTTGCAAAACAGCCAGCTGGGATGCTGATAGGGGTTGCCTTGACTATAGAGTAATTGCAGGGATATTGTCATTTTAACAATATTAAGTATTTCAATCTATGAACACAGGATGTCTATCTATGTATTTAGGTCTTCTTTAATTTTTTTTCAGTGACATTTTGTTAGTTTCTTGGAATATAGATTTTGCACTTTTTTGGGTTAAATGTGTTCCTATGTATTTTATTCTTTTTGATGGCTCTGCAAATGGAATTGTTTTCTTAATTTCATTTTCAGATTGCTCATTACAATATAGTTCATTTTTCTGTATTGATCTTATAACCTTTCAGAACTTTTTTATTACTGCTAATAACGTGTGTGTGTTATTTTTTAAGATTTTCTGTAGATAAGGTTGTGTTGTCTATGAATAGAGACAGTTTAACTTCTACTTTCCAATCTGGATGCCTTGTATTTCTTTTTCATGGCCAACTGCCCTGGCTACAACTTCCAGTACAGTGTTATGTAGAAGTGGCGAGAGTGGACATCCTTGTCTTATTTCTCACCTTAGGGGAAAAGCATGCAATCTTTCATCATTGAGTATGACTTTAGCTGTGAGTTTTTCACATATGCCCTTATCAAGTTGAGGAAGTTCCTTTAGTAACTTTTAATAAATATCTGTCCTTGGGGAACTGAGGGTAGTAGAGTTTTTTAATGTTGAGATACTTAGTCATTCACAGTTTAGAATTGCTTATGGTGAGAAATGTCTTTCCAAAGAAGGCATTGTAATGCTTCAGGGTTTAAAGTCATCTACATGCAAATTAAAGAAAGGAATGTTAAGCATGTTTAAAAGAACAGTCAGAGCTTATAGAGTTTCTTTTTTTAAATTATTTTTTTATTGAAGGATAATTGCTTTACAGAATTTTGCTGTTTTCTGTCAAACCTCAACATGAGTCAGCCATAGGCATACATATATCCCCTCCCTTTCGAATCTCCCTCCCCATGCTACCGCTTTAGGTTGATACAGAGTCCCTGTTTGACTTTCCTGAGCCATTCAGCAAATTCCCGTTGGCTATCTGTTTTACATATGGTAATGTAAGTTTCCATGTTACTCTTTCCATACATGTCACCATCTCCTCCCCTCTCCCCATGTCCATAAGTCTATTCTCTATGTCTGTTTCTCCATTGTTGCCCTGTAATAAATTCTTGAGTACCATTTTTCTAGATTCCATATATATGCATTAGCATACGGTATTTAACTTTCTCTTTCTGACTCACTTCACTCTGTATAATAGGTTCTAGTTTCATCCACCTCATTAGAACTGACTCAAATACATTGCTTTTTATGGCTGAGTAATAGTCCATTGTGTATATGTACCACGACTTCTTTATCCACTCATCTGTCGATGGACATCTAGGTTTCTTCCATATTCTAGCTATTGTAAATAGTGCTGCAGTGAACAATGGGGTACATGTTTCTCTTTTCAATTTTGGTTTCCTCAGGGTGTATGCCTAGGAGTGGGATTGCTGGGTTATATGGTGGTTTTATTCCTAATTTTTTAAGGAATCTCTATACCGTGTTCCATAGAGGCTGTATCAGTTTACATTCCCACCAACAGTTCCCTTTTCTCCACACCCTTTCCAGCATTTATTGTTTGTAGACATTTTGATGAGGGCCATTCTGACTGGTGTGAGGTGCTATCTCATTGCAGTTTTGATTTGCATTTCTCTAATAATGAGTGCAAAGAGTCAGACACGACTGAGTGACTGAACTGAGTAATGAGTGATGTTGAGCATCTTTTCATGTGTTTGTTAGCCATCTGTATGTCTTCTTTGGAGAAATGTCTGTTTAGGTCTTTTTCCTACTTTTTGGTTGGGTTGTTTGTTTTTCTGGCATTGAGTTGTATGAGCTGCTTGTATATTTTAGAAATTAATCCTTCGTCAGTTGTTTCATTTGCTATTATTTTCTCCCATTCTGAGGGTTGTCTTTTAACCTTGCTTATAGTTTCCTTTGCTGTGCAAAAGCTTTTAAGTTTAATCAGGTCCCACTTGTTTACTTTTGTTTTTATTTCCATTACTTTAGGAGGTGGGTCATACAGGATCTTTTTTTGATTTATGTCATCGAGTGTTCTGCCTATGTTTTCCTCTAAGAGTTTTATAGTTTCTGGTCTTACATATAGGTCTATAATCCATTTCGAGTTTATATTTGTGTATGGTGCTAGGAAGTGTTCTAATTTCATTCTTTTACATGTAGCTGTCCAGTTTTTCCAGCACCATTTTTTGAAGAGGCTGTCTTTGCCTCATTGTATATTCTTGTCTACTTTGTCAAAAAATAAGGTACCCTTTAGGTACCTTTAGGTGCATGGGTTTATTTCTGCACTTTCTATCTTGTTCCATTGGTCTATATTTCTGTTTTTGTGCCAATACCATACTGTCTTGATGACCGTAGCTTTCCAGTATAATCTGAAGTCAGGAAGGTTGACTGCTCCAGCTCCATTCTTCTTTCTCAGGACTGCTTTGGCTATTTGGGGTCTTTTGTGTTTTCATATGAATTGTGAAATTTTTTGTTCTAGTTCTGTGAAAAATACCATTGGTAATTTGATAGGGATTGCACTGAATATGTAGATTGCTTTTGGTAGTATAGTCATTTTCACAATATTGATTCTTCCTACCCAGCAACATGGAATATCTCTCCATCTGTTTATGTTGTCTTTGACTTCTTCCATTTGTGTCTTATAATTTTCTGTGTACAGTTCTTTTGTCTCCTTAAGTAAGTTTATTCCTAGATATTTCTTTTTGTTGCAATGGTGAATGGGATTGATGCCTTAATTTCTCTTTATGACTTTTCATTGTTATTATACAGAAATGCAAGTGATTTCTGGGTATTCATTTTGTATCCTGCAGCTTTGCTAAATTCACTGATTAGCTGTAGTAATTTTCTGCTACTATCTTTAGGGTTTTCTAGGTATAGTATCATGTCATCTGCAAACAGTGAGAATTTTACTTCTTTTCCGATCTGGATTCCTTTTATTTCTTTTTCTTCTCTGATTGCTGTAGGTAGGACTTCCAGAACTGTGTTGAATAATAGTGGTGAAAGTGGATACCCTTGTCTTATTCCTGATCTTAAGGGGAATGCTTTCATTTTTTCACCATTGAGAATGTTTGCTGTAGGCTTATCATATATACCCTTTACTATGTTGAAGTAGGTTCCTTCTATGCCCATTTTTTGAAGAGTTTTAGTCATAAATGGGTGCTGAATTTTCTCAAAGGTTTTTTTGCATCTATTGAGATGATCATGGTTTTTATCTTTCAGTTTGTTAATACGGTGTATCACGTTGATTGATTTGCATATATTGAAGAATCCTTTCAGACCAGAAATAAACCCAACTTGATCATGGTGTATGAGCTTTTTGATGTATAGCTGAATTCTGTTTGCTAAAATTTTGTTGAGGATTTTTGCATCTATGTTCATCAGTGATATTGGCCTGTAGTTTTCTTTTTGTGTGTTGTCTTTGTCTGGTTTTGGTATCAGAGTGATGGTGGCCTCGTAGAATGAGTTTGGAAGTGTTCTTTCCTCTGCAATTTTTTGAAAGAGTTTTAGAAGGATAGGCATTAGCTCTTCTCTAAATGTTTGATAGAATTCTCCTGTGAAGCCATCTAGTCCTAGGCTTTTGCTTTTGGGGAGATTTCTTTTTATCACAGCTTCAATTTCAATGCTTGTAATTGGATTGTTCATTATTTCTATTTCTTCTTGGTTCAGTCTTGGAATATTGAACTTTCCTAAGAATCTATCCATTTCTTCCAGGTTATCCATTTTATTGCTATTAAAGTTGTTCATAATAGTCTTTTATAATCCTTTGTATTTCTTCATTGTCCATTGTAACCTCTCCTTTTTCATTTCTAACTTTGTTGATTTGATTCTTCTCTGTTTTTTTCCCCCTTGATGAGTTTGACCAAGGGTTTGTCAATTTTTTTTTATCTTCTCAAAGAAACAGCTTTTAGCTTTATTAATCTTTACTATTGTATCTTTTATTCCTTTTTCAATTATTTTGGGTCGGATTTTTATGATTTCTTTCCCTCTATAATTTTTTTTTCTTCTTCTTTTCCAGTTGCTTTAGATGTAAATTTAGGCTGTCTATTCTATGTTTTTCTTGTTTCTTGAAGTAGGATTGTATTGCTATAAACTTCCCTCTTACAACTGCTTTCACTGCATCCCATAAGTTTTGAGTTGTACTTTCATCATCATTTGTTTCCAGAATTTTTTTTATTTCCCCTTTGATTTCTTCAGTAACCTATTGGTCATTTGGAACCGTGTTGTTTAATCTCCNTTGACTATAGAAGTCCCTTTAACATTTGTTGTAAAGCTGGTTTGGTGGTACTGAATTCTCTTAACTTTTGCTTGTCTGAAAAGGTTTTTATTTCTCCATCAATTTTGAATGAGATCCTTGATGGGTATAGTAATCTTGGTTGTAGATTTTTCCCTTTCAGTACTTTAAATATATCCTGCCATTCCCTTCTGGGCTGTAGAGTTTTGCTGAAAGATCAGCTGTTGAGGGAATGGGGTTTCCCTTGTATATTACTTGTTACTTCTCCTCTGCTGCTTTTAGTATTTTTTCTTTGTGTTTAGTCTTTGTTAGTTTGATTAGTATGTGTCTTGGTGTGTTTCTCCTGGGTTTATCCTGTATGGGATTCTTTGTGCCTCTTGGACTTGATTGACTATTTCCTTTTCCATGTTGGGGAAATTTTCAACTATAATCTCTTTAAAAATCTTCTCATACCTTTTCTTTTTCTCTTCTTCTTCAGGGACCCCTATAATTCGAATGTTGGTGTGTTTGGTAATGTCCCAGAGGTCTCTGAGACTGTCCTCAGCTCTTTTCCTTCTTTTTGCTTTATTCTGCTCTTCAGAAGTTATTTCCACCATTGTATTTCCAGCTCACTGATTCGTTCTTCTGCTTCAGATATTCTGCTATTGATTCCTTCTAGAGTATTTCTTTCTTTTTTTTTTTTTTTTTAAGCAAATGAGCCTGGCTGTGCCCATAAACTTTATTTCCGGACACTAAAACGTGAAGGTCATATGTCATGAAATAGTATCCTTATGTTGACTTTTTTTTTAACCCATTTAACAATCTGAAGATCATCCTTGGCTCACACACTAAACAAGAGCAGGTGGTGGGCGGCATTTGGTCTGTGGACAATCATTTCCCAACTCCTGGTCTAAACATACACTCCTATTTTAACACTTATTTTTTTCCTGGCAATTAGAGTAACTTCTACTTGATTAAGTGAGAACAATAATACAAAATTTTCTTAAGGCTTTGTCTATACTGCTGGTGTACATGTTTTTAAGACAAAAATGTAACACGTACTTATCTCAAGATTAAATATACTGGTAGATGAACAAACTGGCCAAGTTGCATTTATTTGACGTCATGTCTGCACCGCTCTCCTGCACGTGGTGGCATCTGGTTGCACTTCTGATTACAATACAGTAAGTGCCAGGTTCACTTGAAAACCCTCATCAGTACAACTTCTGTAAGTCAGAGACAGCTACCCTGGTATCTGTGACAGCAAAAGCGTGCTCTGAAGCTGGATCTCTCCGGTTTGGTTCAGGAACAAACGTACGCAGTCATTTAAAAATGGCCATTTGGGGAATAGGCCAGAATATAAAATGTTTGTCTGGTAAAATAAACCGTTTAGCATTTTCAAAAAACAATTTTCAAGCGTTAAAACTTGTCTATTGAGTTGTTACACGGATACACACTATTACAGCAAGAAACAAACTGGCCACAGGCCATGATTTTAGCAACTTGGCTAATTTAAAAAAAAAAATGTGTTCATGAAGTAGTAACATTTTTAGTCAAATAAAACAGTGGCGAGATGGACTCTTTTCTTCCCACATCTAATGCGTGAGGTTGCTGCCAAGATGCCCCAACCCCCAACAACAAAAAAAATCAGAGACTGACTTGGGTGTTTCATTCAAACCTATGTTTGCAGTTTCTCCAACGCTGGTCCACAGACCACGCTCCTGTTACTCGTGCACCGCCGGGAGAGCAGAGACGCCCGGCGCCCCACCAAGGACGGTCCTCCTCCGTCCACAGGTGCGTCCCTGCGCCCACCCGCCCGGTGGCGACGCAATAAATGTGCGGCTTGCGGCCGCCCGGGTCCAGCAGGCCCGCCATTACCTGTTGTAGGCCCGCTCCCGCTTGGACTTCTTCAGAGCCTTGTCCATGGTCTTCTCGCTCTTGCCCCGGCACTTGGGGCAGTACCACTTGCCCTTGGGCTTGTGGCTCACCCCCACGCAGGAGAAGTGGAACCACTCCATGGGGCACTCGTCGTTGTCGCAGCCAATCATCTCCCCGTAGGAGACCTGGTTGCACAGACAGTACGTGGGCTCGTTCGGGTCTATGGGCAGGTCCGCGGGGAACACCTCCCTCTCCGCTTTGGCCTTGCAGTGCTTCTTCTTCTTGGAGGCCTTGGCCGCCTTCTCCTTGGGCGTCCCGGAAGTGACGCCATTGTTCTCGTGATTGTTTGCGGCGTTCTCCGGGTTCTCGTTGTTGCGCTGTCGCCGGGACCTCTTGTTGGGCTTCTCTGCCTGGGCGATTGCCTCGTTTTTGGACTTGTCCTGGCCGGCTTTGCTGTGGCCCGTGGCGTCAGCGGCCTCCTGGTGGGCCTCAAGCAGCTCCACGTGGCTGTCCAGCTGCCGGGCCCGTTTCTCCACCAGCTCCACCATCTGACTCACGAGCTGGGTCTTCTCGTCGCCCAGCTCCTGGCTGCGGATCAGCGCCTGCTGGATGCAGTGCAGCGCTCTCCGCTTCTGGGTGCCATCTGCCTCCCGCCTGAACTTCTCGTAGTACTCATCCAGCTCCTTCAGGATCTCTTGGTATTTCGCGTCGATCTCCCGCATCAGAGAGACGTTTCTCTGCAGATCAAAAGGCAGAGACTCGATGGAGTCCAGGTAGTCCTCCACGTAGTTCACCAGGTGGATCTGCTCCTCGTTGGCAGGGCTCAACATGGTTCACAGCGGTCCCCGGCGACTCCGCGCGGCTTTCCGCTTCCTCCGGCCCCTGCCCCCTCGGAGCCCGCAGCTGCAAAATGCAAGGCTCCTGCCCGCCGGCGCGCCCGCCTCAACTCCAGTCGGCTCCGCGCCGCTACATCTACGCCACACTTGTCCAACGTGGAAAACCCCTAGAGTATTTCTAATTTCACTAATTGTGTTGTTTATCTCTGTATGTTTGTTATTTAATTCTTCTAGGTCTTTGTTAATTGATTCTTGCATTTTCTCCATTTTGTTTTCAAGGGTTTTAATCATCTTTACTGTCATTATTCTGAATTGTTTTTCAGGTAGTTTGCCTATTTCCTATTCATTTATTTGGACTTCTGTGTTTCTAGTTTGCTCCTTCATTTGTGTAGTACTTCTCTGCCTTTTCACTTTTTTAACTTATTGTGTCTGAGGTCTCCTTTCCCCAGGCTTCAAGGTTGAATTCTTTCTTCCTTTTGGTTTCTGTCCTCCTCAGGTTGGTCCAGTGGTTTGTGTGAGCTTTGGTATAGGGTGAGATTTGTGCTGAGTTTTTGTTTGTTCATTTTTCCTCTGATGGGCAAGGCTGAGTGAGGTGGTAATCCTGTCTGCTGATAATTGGGTTTGTATTTTTGTTTTGTTTCTTGTTTAGATGAGGTGTCCTGCACAGGGTGCTACTGGTGGTTGGGCAATGCCAGGTCTTCTATTCAAGTGGTTTTCTTTGTGTGAGTTCTTAGTATTTGATACTCCCTAGGGTTAGTTCTCTGCTAGTCTAGGGTCTTGGAGTCAGTGCTCCCACTCCCAAACCTTAGCACTTGATCTTTGGTCAGGAATGGCGATTCCACAAGTGGTTTGAAATGGCATTAAGGGAGAGGAAAACAAATATCCAAAAATGAGAAACCAAAGTTGAACCCCAAACAAATGGCAGTTACAAAATCAGGCAAGTAATAATTAAAGTAATGGAATATACACATATACATATACACCCATGAGCAAAGTCAAAACAGTCCAACAAAAATAAAGTACAGTAGATTGATCCATGAACAAAAGAAATAAAAAATTACATTTACGAGTTAAGAACAAAACTAGTTTAAACACAAACTGGAAAACAAGAGTAAAGCAAGGTGCCAAGTGGGAATAAAACAATGAAAGCAAAACTAACAAATATGTTGTGAGGAAAGGAAAGAAAGAAAGAATAGATATGCAAAGTTAAAAAGAGGTAGATGAAGAAGATTTATATACATTAAAGATTAACTGCAAGGGGAAAATAACAGTAGGAAAGGCAAACAAAGGAATAAATATAGAAAAGCATAATAGGTTTAAAAAAATTAAAATTATAAAATGAGAAAAGAGAAAAAAGGAAGAAGAAAGAACAAAGGGGGAAAACGGGAAAACTCCATAGAACTGCAAAAGCCCAATGTAGAGGCAGAGGTTTATAACAACAAACAGAAAATGTGAATGAATATACATATACACCCATAAGCAAAATCAATGCAGGAAAAATAAAGTACAATTGATCAACCTGGCAAACAAAAGAAACAAAAAAATTATATCTACCAGAACAAAACTAATTAAAGTACAAACTGGAAAACAAAACTAAAGCATGGTGCCAATTGGGGAATAAAGCAATGAAAATAAAACTAACAAATATGTTGAGAGGAAAGGAGAGAAAGAAAGAATAGATATGCAATGTTAAATAGAGCTACAAAAAGAAGATTTATATACGTTAAAGGTTAACTGCAAGGGGAAAAGAACAGTAGGAAAAGCAAACAAAGGAATAAATGTATAAAAAATAAAAGAGAAAGGAAAGAACAAGAGGAAAACTCCACAGACCTGCAAAAGCCCCATGCAGAGGCAGAGATTGATGACAACAATAAAAAATGTGAGTGAGGGGAAAAAAAGATCAAAAGCTTAATTGGATTTCTTAGTGCCAATAAAATTGACAAATACAATGGAGGGGGGGAAAAGGAAAAAGAAAGGAAAAAATCCAAAAGAATCTACAGAACAAGTTAAAAAATAAGAAAAATAAGTGTTTTTCTTGAGTCACGGGTGTCAGAGTCCTTTCCCTCACTAGGAATCACAGTCCACCTCACCTCCCTAGGATGCCCTCCGACACTGTGCTGATCTCTGGACCTGCTGTGGGGGCTGCTCAGTTTCTAATCTGGTCCTACTCCTGTGTGTTCTTGCCTCCAATGTCCACAGCTATCAGAGCTAGTGCATTTTCTTTTGTGGGCACTCTCTATGGCCTTTTATATATGCCATAGACACAGAATCTGCTTAGTTGATCATGTGGATTTAATCTGCAGCTTGTACAGCTGATGGGAAGGTTGTGGTCTTCTTCCTTAGCCACCCTGCCCCTGGGTTTCAGTTGTGGTTTTATTTCCACCTCTATATGTGGGTCCTGCACTGGGGTTAGCTCCTGAGGCTGCCCTGGAGGGGTTGGATTTGCCCCTGTGAGGGCCAGGTGTGGAGGTGGTGCATCTGTTTGGGTCACAGGGGTTCTGGCAGCACCAGGTACTCAGGGGGGTTGGAGGCTGGGGAAGTAGGAAATATAGTGCTCCAGAAGGGTATGGCAACCAGTCTTGGCCAATATGCTCCAGTATTCTTGCCTGGAGAACCCCCCTCCCTGACAGAGAAGTCTGACAGGCCACAGTCTATAGGGTTGAAAAGAGTTTGACACTACCGAAGTGATCCTGCGTGCATAAATGCAAGACTTTTTTTTTTTGCCTGTGGCAGCTCTGCCCCAGTGAGAGTTGAGCGTGAAAGTAGTGCAGCTGCTTGTCTTGCAGAAACCCTGGTGGCGCCAAATGTGAAGGGACACAGACTGCCCCACCACAGGAGTTATGGCCCTATCAGAGTCTTTTTTAGCCTCTTCTAGCCAGCGATCAGAGGGCTTCTTTGGCCAGTCTTTCTCTGTAGCTCCGCCTGTTCAGGCACTTAGAGGGCTCCCTTGCGTGTGGTCCTTCTCTGTTGTTCGGCATGTCAGACACATAGAGGGTCCTCCCTGTGTTCCTAGTTTGTAGATTGGCACCTGAGACACTTAAAGGGGCACCCTGGGTGGGGTCCTACTCTGTAGTTCAGTTCCTCAGGCATTTTATGGGCCAGCGTCTCTATAGATCAGTACTGATGCTGGCGTGTGGGGAGAGAGAGGCTATGGTGATGGCTCCACCCCCTACGCATGACTTAGTGGTATCACCATGCTACCGTGGCTGCCTGACTTTCCTCTACCACCATTTCTCATCACTATCTCCTCCCTCACATCCCCTCCACCGGTCTCTCTGCATTCCAACAGCAGGCCTTGCCCTGGGCTTGCTCCTAGCTGCTGCCCCTTCCAGGAGACAGGCTGTGGGCAAGGACTGTCTGATTCTCATTCCATTTAGGCTGCCACAGATCAGCTCTTTCACTCTCAGCCTTAAATGTTTCTCTTCTGACTCAGACAGTTGCCCTGCTGTGGGGATCAGACCCCTGCTTCTGTTCCCCCACCCGCCAAGGGCAGGTCCAGTCCTACTAACACTCCTGTTTCTCCCCCTAGTTCCTTCATCCTACCGAGTTTTGCGTGATTCTATATATTCTTTTCCACTGGTCAGGTACTTCTGTCCGCTCTCAGCTGGTGTTCTGCATACACTTCTGTGTCTGAAGGTGTATTCCTGATGTATCCATGGAGAGAGATGTATTCCATGTCCACCTACTCCTCCACCATCTTGTTCTCTAGAGTTTCTTTTAAAGTGCAGTGATTTGCATTGCCATGAGGGAACTAGAGGGAATTGAAAGGCTTCAGGGCTGTCATACAGTAGGAGCTCAATAAATGTTTACTGGATAGCTGGTATGCTTAGAGGAGGTGTTATTAGTCAGCTTTGACTGCCATAACAAAATTATAGACTGACTTCAACAACAGAAATTTCTCACCAATCTGAAGGCCTGAAATCTGAGCTCACAGTGTTAGTCTAGATCAGGTTCTGGTGAGGGCTCTCTTCTTAGCTTGTGGATGGCCACCTTGCTGAGTCCTCACAAGTTCAAGACAGGGCCCTCTGGCTCTCTGGTGTTTCTTCTCATAACAACACTAATCCTATCTTGAGGACTCCACCCATATGACCTCATCTAAAACTAGCTACCTCCCAAAGGCCCCACCTCCAGATACTATCACATTAGGATTTAGGGCTTTAACATGTAAATTTGGTGGGGCGGGGACACAAACATGCAATGCACTGCAGAAGGCTACAATATTATACACACCAGGTGTGGCATGGCAAATCTGAATTTTTAGGATTCATAACAGCAAAGGTAGAGAATGGCAGGCATAGTTAGACTTTCACAAAAATAGCTATCATTTCATGGTGCTAGTGGTAAAGAATGTGCCTACCAATGCAGGAGACATAAAAGGCGCAGGTTTGATCCCTGGGTTGGGAAGATCCCCTGGAGGAGGAAATAGCAACCCACTCCAGTATTCTTGCTTGGGAAACCCCATGGACAGAGGAGCCTGGCGGGCTACAGTCCATGGGGTCGCAAAGAGTTGGACATAACTGAGCAGAAGCACAAGAGGTATATGCTCAGAACAGTGCTAGATTTATTACCTCCCTCATCTCAGTTAATCTTCATAGCTGCCCTGAGATGAAACTCATCTCATTTTTATAAGGAGTAAGCTGAGATGCAAAGAGTTGTTAAGCAGTCTACCCAAAGGCAATGAGCTAGTGAGTGGAAAAAGTTGCAAGTTAGAACCCAGATTTCTGTTTACAAAGCCCACTCTCTATCCACTCCACCTCTGCACCTTCCTCACTATGCCTTGAGTCCTTGCAACTCAAAATGTGGTCCACAGGTCAGCAGAATTGGCCTCCCTTGAGAACTCATTAGAAATTCATAACCTTGGGCCTTATCCCAGATTTACCAAATGAAACTCTACATTTTAACAAGATCTCTTGGGATTGGTGTGCACATGACAGTTGGAAAGACCTGGGAAGCAAGATTGAGAGAAAGCAAAACAGCCAGTATCTAGTGTAGAAAG